CGAATGCAGGCAGGCGCGATAGGACCACGCCCCGCAAAGCCGGGCCGTATCACAGAGGAGGCCTGGAGTGCTCTGGAACCGCTTGAAGAAACCTTAGGGCTGGCCATGCCCACCTCGACGCACGTTCCACCCACAACGGGTATGCCTCACAACTGTGAACCGGTGACCCCTCGATGACCTACTTTTTCCCGGTGTCTGGAGCATTCAGGAACCGTTTCAGGAATTTTTAAAATTGGCCCTGCCCATCTCGCCGCGCGCTCCGCCCACAGCGGATGTGCCTCACACTTGTGAACCGATGACCCCTCGCTGATCTCAAACTTTTTCCCGGTGTCTGGAGTGTTCTAAAATCGTTTTAGGATTTTTTTCGTTTGGCTCCGCCCACCTCGCCGCACGCTCCGCCCACAACGTATGCCTCGCGCTTCTCAACCGAAGACCCTCTTAAACTATTTTTTCCCGGTGTCTGGAGTGCTTTGGAAGCGTTTTACGGATTTTTCAGACTGGCTCCGCCCACCCCGTGCACGCTCCGCCCACAGCGTGTACCTCACACTTGTGAACCGATGACCCCTCGCTGATCTTAAACTATTTTTTCCCGGTGTCTGGAGTGCTCTGGAAGCGTTTTAGGCTGCGTTTATACTTTGCGGCAGCGTAGCGTAGCGCTTCCAGCGTATGCCAGCGGCCGAAGGGAGGATGCATGTCGATCTAGCTTCACCAGCGACATCCAGCGGCACGCTGGCGTAGCGACCCGGGCACGGCGCAAGATAGCTATCGATTTAGGTTCCCAGCGTCTCTCGCCAGCGTTTTTCCAGCGCTTCCAGCGACGGGTAGTTTGTTTCCTAGAGAGCCACTGCGATGGCAGGAGCTGTACAAGGTATGCTGTGTATGCGGCGGACCCATTCGTCACGCGCCTGAAAACGGCCATCCTTGCGGGTAGGTGTAGTTGGCTTTTAAAAGTTTTCATAGTTATTTTACCTTGAAAATTAACTTGAGAGAACGGGAGATCGAAGTCTTTTGATAAACTCGATGTATAGTTCAGGGGATGGGGTTCCGCCTCCCCTCTCTCAGCCCCTTGCATGCACCCCCCCCCGCGCGTAGCCTACACACATAAGCTGCCTACCCCCCCGGTCTCTCTCCTTTCTCTCACCTCCTGGCACCGCACGCCCGCCCCGCCCCGGTCCGCTGCGGCAGGCGCCCTTCACCGCCTAACTCCGTGCGCCGGCCCCCTCGCCTGTCCCGTTCCGCCCTCTTTGCGCCTTCGCGGATGAAAATATCTATTTTTTCTCCGGAGTTTACCCTTTATACCAACCCACCCGACGCGTCGCTTACTCCGAAGTATTCCACACAAATTTAAAGTACGAGTTCTAGGTGTAACATATTTTCAGAACACAAATAGTGAAGAATCACGACAGGATCAGATGGTTGTGCGAGCACTGCTTCGCAACGAGTTGCTGCAGGATAGAATCGACGATATACGAGCAAGTTTTGCCCTTTTTCTTTCAAAAAGATTGGTTTCTCTGGCACAATAAAGTACTCATACCCCATTTATTAGTACCATAAGTAAGTAATTGAGTGATAATACTTATGGTAATCCATCAAGATAATTTTCCACTTTAAGTCGTGCTACAAGGATCTGGAAACTGAGAAGCCGCCAAGTAGCCCGGCTGGAGGACTTTTCAGCTACATAAAGCGAACACCGACTAAATTGGGAGATCCTAGTACTTCCCATAGGTATGTAATGTTTCTTTTCCTATTTCCATTGCATTGGAAATGTGAGCAGTTCCGCTTTCTGTTCATGTCCGTTCATTTTCCTTTTGCCACCTGGAATGACCAGTTTTATAATTTTAGCTTCGCCTTGTCGCCTTTTTCTGGACCATTGAGTGAGGACAGTCAGAGGCTTCTGAAAAGTCCTCGGAAACCACAAAGGAAAGTCCCAAAAAACCCGTACAAGGTAATTTTTCCCTTCTCCACCTTGTGTATCCTTGTTTATTGTGAGCAGTGTATCAAGCAAATGTTATAGGTGTTAGATGCTCCCGAGCTTCAAGACGACTTTTATTTGAATCTAGTCGATTGGTCTTCGCAAAATATGTTGTCTGTGGGTCTGAATACTTGTGTCTATCTGTGGAGCGCCTGCAACAGTCAGGTACAATTTGCTTCCCCTTTTCCTAATTTGTTTATTCCTGGATGGAACATATCGGTTGGATCTGTAGAAAGTACGCCATAGTGTTGGAAATGCTCTTCTGAAAAAGCCCTGCGATTGCATATTGTGTATAGTGGCGCTCAGATACGAACCTGTACTCGCCAAGTGAAACTCCAGGCGAGAAAAAAGCAAAAAAAAATAGTATTAGACTGAGGCCCCTAGAGGCCTCTACCTTACTGCTCGTTTCTTCGCGTCATGGAATTCTAATAAACCCAACAGTTCAAGAACGAAAAACAAGGTGGGAAAAGTGACCTCGCGACAAAAAAATAGCATTTGAGTTTCGGGGGAGGGACAAGTAGGGAGAACAGAGCTGCCACTTAACGCGGACCGCAGCGCCTTCGTTGCTTATTGTGAAGCCGCGGAAATGGGATAATTTAGAGACTGAGGGCCAGACTACTTGAAAAAGGAGTCCTCGCGCAAATCGGTTAAGCAGGACTTTTTAATAGTCAGCAACACAAAAGTATTCACTTCGAGCGAAGCTTTTTGTTCCAGGTTGTTAAATTATGTGATCTGGTGAATGATCAGGACACTGTAACTTCTGTGCAATGGGCAGACAAAGGCGAACTCCTTGCTGTCGGTACGAATCGCGGCATCACTCAGGTAAGTCTTCTGTTTTATAAAAGTTTGGGCATTCCTTCCACTATTGCGGCTCTGAAACTCAAGAACTTTTTTTCGCTGAGACTTCGCTTATAGATGATATTGCGCGCCAATTGCGAATATAATAACCATTTTCTTCCTGTTCAATGTGTTATTTATTCGCGGCGCCAGCGCTAATGTGGGGCATTCTTGTAGACACTGCTGTGACTGAGCCTCGTGAGATTAGAGTCTCCCAGGCTCAGCATTAGCATAGTGCTGAGCGTCTGTTGGCGCAGCGCCAGCCATAAAAACGAATGTCATAGTCATGACAAGTGTGGAATTTTATTTAGAATTTTTTTGTTTCTCGAGTCGCAATAGTAGAATAAAGCCGGACTTTGTCATCCGTTAAAATATTTCTAAGAACTGCTGCATGCAGATTTGGGACGTGCATAGTCAAAAGATGACCATGGAGCTGTCTGGTCATACGTCACGCGTTGGCTGCTTGGCTTGGAATGGCGACCTCGTCTGTTCAGGCAGTCGCGATCGTCACATTATCCAACGTGACATTCGTCAACCACATAACACAGAAAAGAAAATGAGCGCACATCGTCAAGAGGTGGGTTGGCTACAAAATATGATCATCTTAGCAACCTATTACGAGAATGCT